AAAGACGTTAGAAGCTTTTTAGGACTTTGTTCATTTTACCGTAGACATATAAAATCGTTCGCACAGATCGCTAATTGCCTTACAGAGTTAACAAAAACAAAAAAATACGAGAAAATTAACTGGCAACAAGAACATACTGAAGCGTTTGGACAACTGAAAACCTTATTAACATCAAAACCTATTCTAGCACACTTTAACGATGATAGACCAACGAGCTTGACCGTTGACGCAAGTATTCGAGGGCTAGGTGGAGTGCTAGAACAGACAGACGAAAACAACATTTCAAGAATCATAGGTTATGCCTCTCGGAAGCTGTTAGAATCAGAAAAAACCTACAGCTCTACTACGTTAGAACTTCAAGGTCTGACCTTTGCTATCGAATTCTTCAGAGAGTACCTTTACGCCAGACATTTTACGGTATATAGTGATAACATTAGCTTAAAATATTACCGCAGCTTAAAAAATCCGTCAGCCCGCATATCTCGCTTAATTATCAAACTTTGGGATTACGACTTCAAAATAGTATTTACTAGAGGGCGAGATAATGTAGTGGCGGATGCACTATCCAGATACTCTTTAGAACACATAATAGACTCAGCAATATTCGGATATGAGAGTGGTCACGAACCGAATGTTCAAGTTCAATGTATTGGCAACATTCAAGAGTTATCAGCCACAGAAGAGAAAGAATTTTCTATTGCAGAAAAGCAACAAAAAGACCCTTTTTGCTTATCAATTCGAAACGCTTTAGAAGGCAAAGAATCAGATAAGAAAACAAATAGACTATCACGGAAATTCACCATAATATGTAACGTATTATACTTTAAATCATATAATCAAAATATAGGCAACTATAACTTACTGGTAGTACCCAAAGAAGTTACTACTAGAATATTAAAAGCATACCACGAAAGTCCAACGTCAGGACACGCAGGTATATCACGGACTATACATAAGCTACAGCAAAAATATTATTGGCCTTCTCTTTCGAAAGACACGGCAGCCTATATCAAATCATGCCATTCATGTCAAATCAACAAGAGAGCCACAGGGAAACCTACAGGATTATTACAGCCTATCCCAGTCATAGATGGAACTCCGTTATCTAGAGTAACTATTGACTTTCTCGGGCCACTATGCAATAGTAATGGAAAGAAACACGTAATAGTAGCAGCTTGCAACACGACCAAGTATATTTTCACCAAAGCAGTTCGCTCTGCAGACGGCGAGTCTGTCATAAAATTCCTTTTCGAATTAATTTTCAAATGGGGCTGCCCTCGATCTATAACAAGTGACCGGGGAACTCACTTTAAAAATAAGGAACTGGCACAAGTTTGTGACAACTTAGGCATCAAACAGAAGTTCAGCTCAGCCTACTCGCCTCAATCTCAAGGATTTGTAGAACGAACAAATGAGACGCTATGTACAGCTTTACGACATTATATGCAAGACAACAATCAGAATAGATGGTCACACTATTTACCAGCTGTCACTTTTAGCTACAACACTACACCGCAGTCTACAACTGGATTTTCGCCATTCTATCTAATGCATGGATTTCATGCTGCACAGCCTATAGACAACAAAATAATCCCTCAGCCTCTATCACATGACCTAAAGAAAGCGCTGGAAGACTTACATAATGTTAGAATGAAACTACCAGACATAATAGCAAAAGCTCAAAAAACGCAGAAAATCAACTATGATTTATCACACAAACACTTAGAATACAAACCAGGTCAATTAGTCTTAGTCAAATTTCCTTTTATAATAAAAAACCAATGTGCAAAATTAGGCCACCAATATCGTGGTCCATTTAAAATAATTAATAAAATAAATGACGTAAATTATGAAGTAGAACTAATCCTAAATAAAAATGTCGTGAAGGATACCATACACATTAGACGACTAAAACCGTACTACAATAGAGACAATGATGATAAAAACCACAGCGTTGAGACTATTGTGCATGGGCATAACAGCGATAGCATTCACACAACTGATTCAAGCGGAAGAAATAAAAAGCCCGACGATTATATTTACAAAGTTACGTCAAATATGATTGGTCAGAAGTCATTAAACAATATTATTGAACCGAAATCAGAAGTAACATAATAAAACTTCAAGCCCTGCAAAAACTTCCTACTACCCAACAAGCTTTATTCCAAGCAAATCCCCCCTGAAAACAAAGCAAGATTAAAAACAATCTATACAGCCTGATCATTAATCAAAACATCAAGGACTACAAAAGAAAAGCAAAAAGAACAATATCGTTCCACAACCAAATCATACACCAAATGTAGGAAAGTAGGCGGATCAAAAAATATATATAAAAAAAAAAAAAAAATGTAAACTAAATTAGTTAAGTTAAATTATTTTGTTCTCATAAAATATTCATTTATTTGTACGACAACACGCACTTGAATACCTAGACAGCAGGCACCACCTCCTGATATTCATCTTCACTTACACATAGTTACCCATTTTCCCTTTTACTTTTTACTGTGTTACGACAGGTTTAAATCTAAAAAATACATATAGAAAGTAGNCCCTAAATACAGGGGGGATTCAAAACATAAAAATGCATATAGAAAGTAGAACTTTTTTAACTAAACTTTTGAAAGTGTTCCGGAATGTCTGACACTTTTATATATATCTTAAATTAAAGCTTATGTAATGTATTTTATTATGGTAAAAAAAAATTTCGGACTTTATTTTATCTTCATGGTGAAAACAGAAATCAAACTTAATAAAAAAAACCCAGCACAGGGCGGTCGCGGCACAGTGGTGACGTGGCATAGATGGATCAAGTATAATGATATCTGACAGTGATTAAAATCACTATAAAAAAAAAACGCTTCGATGCAAATCTTTAGATAGTGTTTAATTTTAAAAAATTGGTGGATTATTCCAAAAGCTTCATAAACTGCTAGTTCCTTATTAATATCCTGATTAAGATAAAGTATGTCGAATGAAAAAGGGATAATTAAAAAATATTATTTCTCATTAAAAAAATAATGTCGAGAATACACTTTTCAATAAGTTATAGCATTATAATGTTAAAAATGTAAAAAATAAAATTGAGAATTTTCACACAATAATAGCATTTGNAAAAATAAAATCGAGAATTTTCACACAATAATAGCATTCGGTAGCCATTTTCACCGTGAAGATAAAATAAAGTCTGAAATTTTTTTTTTTCATAATAAAGTAAATTACATTAGCTTTAATTTAAGATATATATAAAAGTGTCACACCTTCCGGAACATTTTCAAAATTTAAGTTGAAAAAGTAAATTTTATGTGAAAAAGTTGTCATTTTAAATCCCCCCCTGTGTACAGGTAAAGGGTCAGATATGAAAAAAAATATATACCAAATGATAGGTAAAGACATCGAGCATCTTTATAAAAAAAAAGAATTATATTGATCCATACATCTTTCGAGAAGTTATAGCATTATAAAGTTAAAAATATAAAAAAGAATTTTTTTACAAAAATCGTATTTTTTTTATTAAGTTTAATGTCTGTTTTCACTATGAAGATAAAATAAAGTCCAATTTTTTTTTTTTTTTATATTAAAGTATATGACATTAGCTTTAATTTAAGATGAATTTAAAAGTGTCAGACCTTCCGGAACATTTTCAAAAATCAAGTTGAAAAAAATAATTTTTTTTGAAAGAGTTGTCGTTTTAAATCCCCCCCTGTGGGCAGGTAAAAAGTCAGATTTATATAAAAATATACCAAATGATAGGTAATGATATCATGCATCTATAAAAAAAAGAATTATATTGATATGTTTATTTTTAAAAAAGTTACGGCAGTTTTTAGTAAAAAAAATTGAAAAAATTTCGAAAATTAGCGATTTTTAAATTTGTAATTTTTTTGGAGGTTTCCCCCATTTACGGGGNATCCCTTTTTCATTCGACATACTTTATCTTAATCAGGATATTAATAAGGAACTAGCAGTTTATGAAGCTTTTGGAATAATCCACCAATTTTTTAAAATTAAACACTATCTAAAGATTTGCATCGAAGCGTTTTTTTTTTATAGTGATTTTAATCCCTGTCAGATATCATTATACTTGATCCATCTATGCCACGTCACCACTGTACCGCGACCACNTCCATCTATGCCACGTCACCACTGTGCCGCGACCGCCCTGTGCTGGGTTTTTTTTACTTAAAACTGCCATAATTTTTCTTTGAACATGAAGTTTAATGACAATAATATATTGTAAATTGTTTACTGTAAAATATTATTTTTTGTACATTCGTATATTAAATATTTTGTCATGTCGATTGTCAAAAAACCACGCATGTATTGACCAATGTAGATGTGCTTAGCAGCCTCAAAGCTCGGTATAAAAGGCCTACATCTATATTGACCGATGTCAAGTTGCTCTTTTGAGGGTAATTGTAAAGATAACCATTTTATTATAGTAAATACTACTAAATACTCTCCTAACCTTTGATCCAATCATAAATAGCAAATGCGGCAGTGCCAGAAGGTATTTTTTCTTACTCACACCTATTTTTTTCTTATTTTATTTTATTATGTTAATAATTTGTAATAGTTTTGAACATGACTTGAAATATGTTATATAACAAAATCTGTAATCTTTAATTTATTTGAACATTTATAATTTGTAAATGACATTATTTTATTGTACATCGGTTATAATCGGGTATAATCATTTGATTTAAATTTAAATTTGTAATCAGTTAATTTGTATAAAATAGAACATCACCGCCCATAATACTAGTTTACCAGTCTTTTAACTTCTTTTCCTTTAAAGTTAAGGTAAAAACTTAGTAAATTGAACAATAGATGTGTCATTTACATTTGAAATTCCACCATGCTTCGGTTTGGTAGAACCTTGGCTAGTGTAGATCCAACTTTGTTTGGTTTATGTACCTTCATTAGTGAAAGCCTTACGGCCAGAAGCCGGTGAAAATCACAATGTGTACTTATTTTCATTAATTTTTAAATTTATGTTACAGACTATAATTAGCACCAATTATATTGTTAAACTCCTAGGAGATGAATGCTACGTAAATGAATATTTCAGAACGGGTANTTAAACTCCTAGGAGATGAATTCAGCGTACATGAATATTTCAGAACGAATACTAACAATCCTGGTATTCTTTTATTTTCTTTTAATATTGAAAAAGAAAATATTTATTTAATAGAAAATTAAATATTTTTTCTGTCGCTATTTTTTAGATATAATCAAACATACAACGTTTTAACTATGCTTACGTAATATCTTTAATATACTTGGATATTACCGTTTCTCAGTTTTATAAGAGTATATAATAACAAGAATTTCTTAAGTAGCTAACTTCTGTGTTGACTTTTTAGAAAAATATAAATGCTGACAGATTACTTGTAAGTCATTAGTCCATGTAGGTTGTCCTCTAGCGATTGATTCGCACATAGCCTCAAAACTTGTTGCAACATTTCTGTGAACTGATCAATAAAAATACTAACAGTAATTAAAAACAGAAATCAGTGACAATAGGCGAGGACGTGATTGGAGAGTTGGAAAGTTTTAAGTATATAGGATCAGTTGTTCCAAAGAGCGGTGGTATTGACGAGGATGTAAGACACGGGTTTTAATAATGCGATAAAATAATTCCAATGAGACTGAAAGGTAAATTCTACAAGACTGCAGTGAAATCAGCTATGGTGTATGGTTCAAAGAGTTGGGCGGTTGATAAGATAGTAGAGCAGAGAATGAGTGTAACAGAGATGAGAATGCTTAGATGGATGAGTTGAGTGACTAGAGAAGATAGAATAAGGAACGAGCATATAAAAGGAAGTATAGATGTAGCGTCAATCGTGGATAAGATGAGAGAAAATAGACTTCGATGGTTTGGTCATTTTATGAGGAGAAAAGTATCGGAAGCTGTAAGAACAGTTATAGAAAAAATATTGAAAGAAAATAAGGCAGAGGAAGACCAAAAAAAAAAAAAAATGGAGGAATACTATTAAATACGATATGAGGACAGCTGATGTGAGCGTAGATGATGTAGGTGATTGTGTTAAGTGGAAGTTTAGGATAAAGGTGGCCGACCCAAGTAGTTGGGATTAAGGTGGGGAAAAAGAAGGAAATTTTTTTTAAAAAGAGTTCATAGAAATGGTGCAATAAATTTAGAGGGTACATGAGAATCAATCCCGAGTCGATGGGGTACAAGAACTAATTTTATAATTAGAATCCCGATATAATTTTAATGTCAGCAAAAATTTGATTTTAAATTGATGCATAGTACTTAAAAGAAGCCTGATAATTTTTTAAACATTAATATAGAATTTAAGTTGACTTACTTAAGAAAGTCTTGCTAAAACATACTTTTGTAGCTAGTAATAATCATGCCCAAGTCCACTATTATGTACAAAAAGTCTACAATTTTGTAAATTCACTAAAACCAATGAATTTCCCCAATTATAATAATAAAAATAATATATATTATTTTTATTTTACGTAGATACAGTCAAAATGTTAGTTACAAGTTTTGTTATTGAAACATGCATTTATATATATGTAAAAGCAATGGAGAAATGGTTATACTTACCAATAGAATTTCATAAAGAAAATTTTTCTAAAATACATGAAGAAAAATGTATTTATTTATATGATGAAGGAACACATTTTTTTATAGTTGAAGATGTAGCTGATTAATGGAGAACTGTTGATATTGCTTTACAACTTCTTATGAGAATGCTTTAGAAATATATACAATGTGAATCGTTTATCATAAACAACTTATTTACTTTTAAAATAAAAATAATGTTGATTATAAATATTTGAATTTTTTTTAGTTACATAATTTCTTAATTTATGAATTTTTAACTAGTTTTAAGGATTATTCCTTTTATAAGTTATATCATTCAAGGATGTCAACTTTGCTTTCATAAATGGAAATACATACATATTAANACGAGGCATTATAGTAATTTATACATATAACGACATATTAACTTAGATTATACTTTTAATTAACTTAAAATTAAATTCCACCTATGGTCCGGTAATCATATCTGATAGGTGTGACACCTCGCCTAGGTGGTGGCGACCCTTGCTACTCTAGCTAGTCGTTATGCAAGTGGCAAACCACGTTGTTGTTACAGGCCGAATTATTAATCTAAAAAGCCCGCTTGCAATAAATAATACATTTTTTAATTATTATTTGAAATGATTTTTTTTTAATTTAAAAGAATTTCCTGACCACTATTCTTAATGTAGATTTTAAAATAAAAAACCATAGGCCAGTGGGTCACGCCAAATGTTGACGTGGCATAATATGAAATATACTTTTATAAATACGTGATTTTTTTTATTATGAATAATAAGTTGAAAACGAGTATTAACATATGAAAAAAAAAACCCAGCATAGTGGGGTCACGGAACTGTGTGGACGTGACATAATTGGTACAAGTATTGATGATATCTATCAGTTATTAAAATCACTATCATAAATAACGCTTCGATGCAAATCTGTAGATAGTGTTTAATTTTAAAAAATTGGTGGATAATTCCAAAGGCTACATAATCTCCTATTTTCTTATTTATATCCTGATTGCAAGTTTTATGATTTATAAATGTAATAAATGAATGAATATAGTGTAAAATTGATATTTAATAATTTGTACGAAAAAATTATAAAAATTATACAGAAGATATTAGTTTTTTGTATAAATGTTGAAAAAAAGTTTGATGTATTACTTTCCAAAAAAAAATTATTTGTTAATTATAAATAAATTTAATGGTCAACAGCTAGGTTCTTAACCTTTTTTGGGTCATGGACCCCTTTCAAGTAAAATGTATAACCACGGACCCTCCCCCTATCCTTTATTTTTCTCACGACCTGTATTATTATGGGCCGCTCTGGAACTTCCGTGAGGTATTACTTTAGGGTGGCCCCTGTAAGAACATTTATTACTATGTTCTTACCACTTATATTACACACGTTTTATTTCTATTTATTTAATTCGTAATACATATTAATTAGCATAGAGGGAGATGCTGATGTGACAATTCTACTCGTCTGTAGTCCGGAGCTACTGACGTCGAACTAACAAAGGGCAGTTGTGTTTGAGTGGCCGTTATAGACATAGTTTTCAATATTATTACTTTCATCTTATTTATATTATTTATAACTTAACTTGTTTTATTCAACGACCCGTCTATCGCCAATTGTCATCATAGCCAACCAACTCCGTCTCATTTGGATATCCCTACTAACCAACTGTACTAGGATTCAGGTCAGACGTATTATACATTACATATAACTTATATTTACTAAACATCTAAAATATAACTTTACTTTGTCGTTGACATAAAACAATAGTCTAATTTTATTTAATAATCTATCCTCTGTAACTAAGGTACACGATTGCCTGTAACTCCTTCAAGNTACACGATTGCCTGTGTCTCCTTCAGGCAATTAAAACTCATTTAAGGAGATAGGGACGATATTTGGGCAGACGTCGGGTAGCTTCCGATTCTTGGTTTTGACCAAGATCCTCAATTATTAAACAAGCCCCTAACACCCCCCTATCCTTAAAAAAAACAATTTAGTTTTTAATTTTAATAATTTTAAATGATAATACAAAAAGTTTAAGTTACATACGTACATAGTTACTGACATAGTGGATACATAATAGAGATTTTATGGTTTTGAGTTTATTAAAATTTTAGAGTTTAGACTTTAGTGTGAGGTTTGTTGTTGTTTTGATAGAATTATTTTCTTGAAATCTGGAACTGTATTGGACAGGACAACACGCATATTATCTTTGATATCCAATCGGTTTCGTGATTTTATTTTATATGTGACCATTGAAGAAAATCCAGACTCACAGAGATATGTAGTGGTGAATCAAAAATTGCACAGCTCGAGAATAAGGCTGCGTCAATGAACACCAAAATTCAATTACATTTTTGGTTTGAAAATCTTGATGCACCATTTCTCTCGATCTTATCAATTAATTCATCTTTTACCAGGTCTGAATCATCAATTGAATTTAAATCCACAACAAAAGGATTACATAACCATATGTCTGCTTTTGAATATGTAGAATTCAAATAATCGTTAAATGAATTTTCAAGTTTATCAAGATGTTCATAAATTTGTGTTTTTATGGAGCTGGACAAAAGAGTATTGTTTTTTGAAAGTTCGTGTTCAATTGTTGGAAAGTTTGCTAAATTATCAGACTGCAATCTTTTTTTTCATAGAGGAATTTTATTTACAAATGAACTTATTTTTTCGTCTGCGTTCATAATTGTAACTTATGGTCCTTGAATCGATGTAATAACTTCATTCAAATGACTAAAAATATATGACAAATAAGCCAATCCATGAATGAATTCAATATTATCGAAATGTTTGGAGAGTGAGCTTTGCCTTTCTATTAAAAAGTAAGAAATTTCTTCGCGAAGTTCATACAAACGTTTCATAACTTGTCCTCTGGAAAGCCAACGTATTTCTGTGTAGTAAAGAAGAACTTCATGTTCAGCTCCCATTTCTTGACAAAAACCCTTGAAAATTCGGTGATGTAAAGCTCTAGATTGCAATGTGGGCTTTTAATTTTGGCCTGTAACAACAACATGGTTTGCCACTTGCATAACGACTAGCTATAGTAGCAAAGGTTGCCACCACCTAGGGGAGGTGTCACACCTATCAGATATGATTACCGGACCATAGGTGGAATTTAATTTTAAGTTAATTAAAAGTATAATTTAAGTTAATATGTCGTTATATGTATAAATTACTATAATGCCTCGTGGTTTATTAAACTGAATTATGACAATTAAAGTTGTTTGTGGTTGATATGTAAAACATACCGTAGCCCGTGTCTAGATTAAGGAATAGGGATAAATACACGCGAGTAATTAAGTTACTCGCGCAATAAAATAAATATTACAGTTGAAATTAATAAGGAAATTTAATTTAATTGTTAAAAAAAAAAGAAAATTAAGTTAAACATGGACAAAATGCGAATGCATCAAAAACCATGTCTACAAATAAAGGCAATACAAATAAAATAAAATATTTAAACAAAAAAAATAAA